CCCCCCTAAGGCCTTCCCCCCTGAGATCTTCTCCCTTGTCCTCCCCAAGATCTTTTCCCTTGGTTGAGATCCTTTCCCCCTTTCCCTCGAGATCTTCTCCCTTTTCCTCCCTAGGATCTTCTCCCACCTTTCCCTGTTGAGCTCCTTTCCCCCTTTTCCCCCGAAGGCCTTTTCAGATCTTCTCCCTTTTCCTCCCTAAGATCCTTTGCCCCCTTTCCCTGTTGAGATCCTTTCCCCCTTTCCCCCCTAAGGCCTTTTCCCTGCCTGGGAGCTTTTCCCTTTCCTCACTGAGATCTTTCCCCCCCTTTCCCTGTTGAGATCCTTTCCCTCCTTTCCTTCCTAAGGCCTTTCCCCCCGCTGAGATCTTCTCCCTATTCCTCCTTAAGATCCTTTGCCCCTTTCCCCGTTGAGATCCTTTCCCCCCTTCCCTTTAAGGCCTTTCCAGATCTTCTCCCTTTTCCTTCCTAAGATTGTTTCCCCCCTTTCCCTGTTGAGATCCTTCCCACCCTTTCCCGCCTAAGGCCTTTCCCCCCCTGAGGCTTCTCCTTTTCCTTCCTTAGATCTTTCCCCCCTTTCCCTGTTGGCCTTTTTTCCCGCAGATCTTCTCCCTTTCCTCCCTAAGATCTTTTCCACCCCTTTCCCTGTTGAGATCATTTCTCCCCTTTCCCCCCCAAGGCCTTTGTCCCCAGATCTTCTCCCTTTCCTCCCCAAGATCTTTCCCCCCCCCCTTTCCCTGCTGAGATCCTTTTCCCCCTTTCCCCCCTAAGGCCTTTCCCCCCCCTGAGAGCTTCTCCCTTTTCCTTCCTAAGATCGTTTCCCCCCTTTCCCTGTTGGGCTTTCCCCCCTAAGTCCTGTTCTCCCAGATCTTCTGCCTTTCCTCCCTAAGATCTTCCCCCCCCTTTCCTCCCTAAGATCTTTCCCACCCTTTCCCTGTTGAGATCTTCCCTGAGAACTTCTCCCCCCTTTCCCTGTTGAGATCATTTCTCCGCTTTCCCCCCTAAGGCCTTTTTGCCCCAGATCTTCTGCCTTTCCTCCCCAAGATCTTTCCCCCCCCCGTTCCCTGTTGAGATCATTTATTTCCACCCTTTTCCTTCTAAGGCCTTTTCCCACCCTCAGTTCTTCCCCCTTTTCCTCCCAAAGATCTTTCCCCCCTTTCCTCCCTAAGTCCTTTTCCCTTGAGATCTTCTCCCTTTTCCTCCCCTAAGATCTTTTGCCACCTTTCCCTGTTGAGAGCCTTTTTCCCGTTTTCCCGCCATTCCCTGTTGAGATCCTTTCCCCCCTTTCCCCCCTAAGGCCTTTTCCCCCCTGAGATCTTCTCCCTTTTCCTCCCTAAGAGCTTTTCCCACCTTTCTTTATTGAGATCCTTTCCCCCCTGTCCCCCCTAAGGCCTTTTCGCACCCTGAGTTCGTCTCCCTTTGCCTCCCTAAGATCTTTTCCCCCCTTTCCCGCTTAAGATCCTTTCCCGCGTTTCCACCCTAAAGCCTTTTCCCCCCAAGATCTCCACCCTTCTCTTCCCAAAGTCTTTTTCCCCCTTTCCCGTTTGAGATCCTGTCCCCCCATTGCCCCGTAGGGCCTGTTCCCCCCGAGAAAGATTTCCCTTTTCCTCCCAAAGATCTTTTCCCCCCTTTCCCCCTTAAGGCATTTTTTCCCCAGATCTTCTCCCTTTCCTCCCTGAGATCTTTCCCCCCCTTTCGCTGTTGAGATCCTTTCCCCCTTTCCCCCCTTCATTTCCTTCACCAGCATGGGCAACATCCCCAGCATCACTTGCATCATCCGCATCCTTGGCACGGATGATGCAGGTGATGCTGGATCCTTTCCCCCGTTTCCCCCCTAAGGCCTTTTCCCCCCAAGATCTCCACCCTTCTCTTCCCAAAGTCTTTTTCCCCCTTTCCCGTTTGAGATCCTGTCCCCCCATTGCCCCGTAGGGCCTGTTCCCCCCGAGAAAGATTTCCCTTTTCCTCCCAAAGATCTTTTCCCCCCTTTCCCCCTTAAGGCATTTTTTCCCCAGATCTTCTCCTTTTCCTTCCTGAGATCTTTCCCCACCTTTCGCTGTTGAGATCCTTTCCCTTCATTTCCTTCAGCAGCATGGGCAACATCCCCAGCATCACTTGCATCATCCGCATCCTTTGCAGGCGCTGATGCGGATGATGCAGGTGATGCTGGCGATGTGCCGCTGGAGCTTCTAAGGATGCGAAAGCGCACCCGGGGGGAATCGAACACCCCAATGTTTTTGACAAACTCCCGCACAATGAACAGATTTAGTGAAGCGTCTTCGAATCACCGCGTGGTACGTGGAACCCCCCCCCCCCCCACAATGGTCTGAAATGGTGCCCCTGGCGTAACAGGTAAAGAGGTAAGGAGCATTTTTTGTGTCCAACACGCCGTCTGTTGTCGGCGGATATGGGCTTGCCCAACAAGGACCCGTTTTCCACTTTGAGATTCCTTTGAGGCGCACTGTTTGCTGGTACTATGTCTCATTTTTGGGATTTTGGTTGCGACAGGTGAACACACGGGTGCAGCAGGCCATGGCCGACTACAGGCGCTCCTCCATCCAGGAGGGGAAACCGAAGCATCAGGGGTCCCAACAAATCAGTCACCTTGTGTGCCACTGTCAAAGTTTCCTTTTCGCGGGGTTATTCGCACTAGGGCCATGATGTTTTGAACCCTCATGTTAATGATGTCCACCAAAAGGTCTCCAATTAAGCGTTCCATCAGACCACAGAAGGTGCCACAACAAGTGCACTCTGTCGATGTGTGGCTTTGGAGTGGCCAAATCCTTCAAAGTTGTTCATTTTGATGTGACATCTTGTCCATCCACAGTATGAGTGTTCACTTGGGGGTTCCGTTTGTGAATAGCCACTTACCCAGATACCCATCCGGTTTCAGGACCCCGGCCGCTCTGGTGGCTGGCCGGAGAGCTCAGAACGGATGTGGAGACAGAGGAGGCTATCGGGTTTGGCTCAAAAAGCGGGCGATCCCAAAATGGGTGATTTCCGTTTTGGCGTTCATTTGAAACCGAACAGGCAACATTTGGATGTTGTTTTGATCCTTTTTTCAAAGGGTCCCAAATTTGATTTTACGCCTGTTCGGCAATTCTCAAAATGGGATGTGGCAGCCCAACGTGAGTGGTTTCATTTCCGGATTTCGGAAGCCCAAAAGAGTACCCTCAACCACAAGACACACCTGCTTCAGCCTGCTTCCATGTGGCGGGGTCCTGCTTTTAAATGAAGCACCCATGTGGGTCTTTTTTTACAGGGAGCTTCGCTTCGTGACTTGGTGTGACCCGTCATGAAAGTTAGACAGCCATTACAAGGATTCTGATTGAGAGATTCCAACACTAATTATGACCCACCAAGGACTTTTGACTGAGTGAGGTTGGTGCAGGTCTATGTGACTCGGAGTTATTGGAGGCCTCCAGGGTGTGATGCCTTCCTGGCACCCCGTATGGCTGTTTTTTCGGTCAAACTCCCGTATTTGGCCGTATTTGCCCGTATGGCCATGATTTTTCGGTCATTTGCGTAAATCACCCGTATGAAACCCATATTTTTCGACATGTTGTTGAACAAAAACTGTAAAACGCCGTATGGCCATGTTTTTCGGTCAAAATCGTATGACTCACCTAACAAAACAGCCATATGGGGTCCCAGGTTCCCAGCGAGTGATCTGAGGGGCTTTCCCGAACAGTTCGGGACCAACTCTTGGTTGGTCCAAGGGAAATCAGGAGGAAAAAGCAGCCAGCGGTGGACTCGAAAATCGACACCTTGGGTGCGTGGTTTGCAGCATGGCCAGGAGCCTGAATGTGTTCGAATTGGATGCTTGCATATTTGCATTAGGGGTGTGTCAACATTGTGCCCTTGGTGGTATTCCCCTAGAAAGGCGGCACAAGTCTGCACCAGGGTCCAAAAAGGAGCTAGAAGTTTGTCAACCCTCCCATTTGGTGACAAGTTCCCAAACTGCACGGTGATCGAGAGCTAGATGGAGTGGTCTCAAACTTCGGGGAGATGCGGCAAGTGGCCGATTTCCCCTTGAGCACCCTTAAAAGTGTGCCCTGGACCAACCGACTGACACCTGGCGTGAGTTGCGTTGCATGGCAGCCAGGGAGTTGCGACTCAGTCCAAGGTTCGGCCACGAGCAGAAGGAGCATGTGGATGGATGGCTACAAGAGCATCGGTGCCCTGCGAATGGCTGTCCCTTTGATTTTTCTATCTTTCCCTCTCGCTCTCTCTTCATCTATCCCCCTTGTTTCTCTCTTTCTTACTTTCTTTCTTTTTTTCCTGCTTTCTTTCTTTCTTTTTTCCCCTCTCTCTCTCTCTCTTCCTCTCTCTCTCTCTCTCTCTCTCTCTCTCTCTCTCTCTCCCTTGTGCCCTTTATGTCATGAGGGCGCCTCCCTTACCGCCGCATTTCCAGCGCGCCTTGCCGCGGGCTGGGCGGGCGGCCCATTGGAAGGCTGGGGCTGGCGGATGTCAAAACGAGTCGGACTCCGAGGGTTTGGTTTCCCTAAAGGACTCCGAGAAATGGCGCCCTCACATACACGTTGAAGTGCACAGAGCCGCTTCCGAAGATGAATTTCTGTTGATGGAAAAGACGCCTAGCTGCCGGCTTTTTCAAGGGGAAACGGGTACCCCCTCCAAATTGTGGATTTTTGCTTTTCGGTTTTCTCTGAAAAGGGACCGAGATGCTGGGGGTCGAGAAATGGTTGCATGTTTGTCCATGAACGAGGGATCCAAGCATTCCCTGACTGACAAACGTGGTGATTTGTTGCCACATGACCTCAGGACTCCTCCACGTAGATTTCCGTAAGTGGACCAAGGGTGAGGCAGTTCGCATCCCAAAGCATCGATTTCCCTGGCTCGGCGCTCTTCTGTGAGGGCACAGTGGGACCTAAAGCTTCCAGATTGCCCTAGACAATGGTGCAGCAAAGCCCAGAAAAGATGAGGCTGAGGCTTCCAAATGAGAAGGTAGCCAGCAGGACAGTTGCTATCCAAATGCAAGAGCAAGATCAAAATGTCATTTAGCGTCGGCGCCATGCCATGATGGATGGGCCGCCGGTGGTGGTGGTGGGCCTTGGCGGGGTCGGCAGTCACTGCGCCCACGCGTTGGTGCGCAGCGGGGTCCGACGCCTGCGGCTGGTGGACTTCGATCGGGTGTCGCTGAGCTCGCTGAACCGCCACGCGGCGGCGCTGCGCCGGGATGCGCTTCGGACGCAGAAAACGCCCCACCTACCCACGTCCCGAGGCGAAAGCACAGAACAACAACCCCATATCAGGGATCTCTTTTGACCCCATCTTCCCTGAGGTTCGCTGAATGTGGTTGCAATCTGGGCCAGAAGGTCCCTCGGCCCAGAAAGGTTCTAAGCCCGTCCCCAGGGAATTTCCATGTCTAGTTCCATTTTCTCCTTTTGTGGGGAAGAGTCGAAAAAGAAGTTGGGGATTCCGCCACAACCGTCCTGAAGGGAGGGCAGCAAAGCAGGAAGCAAGCGGCATGGTTGTTTGTCTCCCCTCGGGCTTCCCACAACAGCAGATGCACCCCGTTTTTAACCGGGGTTTCTTTTAAAGCCAAATCCAACAATGGGACCCCCGAAAACGACGCCCAAACGATGGAGGTTTCCTCCAAGCTAGCAGATTGCAGCTGTGTAGAGAACATGTCAAACTATTGGATGACACACACACACACACTTATGTGGCATTTATATGTGTATATATATATATATATATGTATGTATGTATGTATGTATGTAACGCTATACAGAGTATAACTGGGGGCGACAAGTGCCTTGAGACTCTGAAATTAACTGACTGGACGCTCAACTCCATGCAAATTCCAACCAAGCAGAAGAAGTTAAGCTCAATGTTGCATAGAAGTTGCGAGTTGTGTGACCGTCACATTGCGTGCGCGAAGTGCACTTAAAGTCACATTGGAGTATGCAAAGTGCACTTTGGCAGCTCCAGCTCAAAAAGCACAACTGCCCAGTACAAGAGTAGAGCAAATCATCAACTTGAAGAAAAGGAACTCATTCCTACTTCATGTCCTTGCGCAGTTGCATGTACATGCTAACTGTTAACTCGAGTGTTGTGCGTAATTCCATGCACATGCTAGTTCAGTCTATTTGAAACATATGTTGCAAAGCAACTATCCCATGTGTGTGTTGCTTGTCTAAGTTGGTTCAATCATTGCCAATAACAACGATTGAAATTCAAGTAAGGGAAGGATATCCAGTTTCAATCGCTTTCGAGTTCAAACCAAATTCAAGTTTACTCGTTTGCGGTTTCTTGTGCATTTCAAGAATCAACTGGAGCAGATAGCTATTGTCATGGCCAAATGCATTTGGAATCAAACTCAATTTTGAAAGGGTTATCGTCCTTGTCGAACTCCATGTGGTTTGAACCAAGCACGAACTGAACCAAGCCAATGACAAGAACGTGTTTTCAATCATGTCTTGGCATAAATGCTGAAAACGCAGTGTTTTCAGCATTTGCTCAGATCGTGTTGCCCTGGATCGAAGATCGAATATACGAGATTCCACAAACATATGTATAAAACATACTCCATCCTGGCCCCCCAAAAACTTGACAGGTTGTTCTAGACTCATTAAGGTTTTGCCCCCTGCGTTGAAGATCTACCAGATTTTCTATTTGAGAATCTTCCATGCTGGCCAGCCCTCAAGCCCCCGGTAAAGGTGTCAACAACAGTTTTCCCCCCTGGCCAAGTGCAGGCAGGGCAAGCGCACATCCACAATTTGATTCTGACAACGTGCACTCCCGGTCTGCCTTTTGGATTCTTCAAATCCGCACTTAGGGCAATCCAGAATCTGGATTGAAGATTGAAGATTCTCACACCACTTGTTCTGGAAATCTTCAATCCCAGAGAGAGTTGTCAGAGAATCTTCAATCGTTAATCTTCAACCCACGATGTGCTAGCACGTGCTAGCACATATCAGTTTGTCCTAAGCATGGATTGAAGATTTCCAGAACAAGTGGCCTGAGAATCTTCAATCTTCAATCGTCAATCGAGGATTGCACTAAGTACCGATGCTAGAATTTAAGTCTAAAAAGGAGTGCATTTTTATAGCCTCATTTTAGAAGCTGGAACGTGTGTTTTGCAGGCCAAAAACCTGAGTATTCCAGGGGGGGTACGAGATGTCAAATATGATGTTGCACTACTTGTCACTTGTGCATGCATGATGTACACTACCCGACTGCAAGCCTTGAGTCTACCAGGAAAAGAGTGCATGCTGGCTGGACTACATTTGTGATAACTGAACAACACTTGCACTAGAAGTAAAGTATCAACGTATTTTAACGTGGTAGCGGAGCTGAGATCCTAAACATAGGGGAGCTCCAGCAACAGCAGTAAGTACTACAACTGCACAGGCAACCAACATGCCCAACTACTACGACATGTCAGGAGAACCAGCAGCAGCATCAGCACAACCAACTACAGGAGCAGACAACGGGCCCACAGCAGAAGAGACAATAGGAGCCACAAGTACGGGAACAACACAGGAGCAGGAAGACGTCCAAAGGCTACACAAATACAAACTGCCACCACCATTCTTCACTGGTGACTACTCACAGTATGAACGAGTGGCTGTTCAAACTACAAGCATATCTCGGACTTATCGACCGAGACTTCGACATGGTGCTACAACTAGCACAAGCAGCTACAAGACAAATTGAAGATGCAGACATCAGAGCACACATACGCGACCCTACACAGGCAGCAAAAGCAGTAGACCTCTCACGAGATCTACACTACATCCTCATCAACATCTGCCAAGGAGCAGCAGCCACAGTGGTTAGACAAAACCGCTACAATGCCAATGGATGTGAAACACTACGGCTTTTGCACAACAGGTTCAGCCTACCAGTAGGAACACGCAGTGTTGGCTACCTCACCAAACTACTGGAACCTACATTCAATGAAGCACAATTTGAAGAACAATTCCTACAGTGGGAATACGACATCAAACGCTACGAGAAAGACAACGGCACAGCACTACCAGATGGAGTAAAGATTGCAATACTACTCAACAAGACCAAAGGAGCACTCCAACAGCATCTCCAACTACGTGCTGGACAGATCACGAACTACAACGAGATCAGAGTTGTCATCCTGGACTACTACAAAACCATCTCTGCATTCTCAAGAGCGAGCTCAGCAGTTGGCACAAACTACAATGGTGGGACAGCACCGATGGACGTGGACAACATTTGGAGAAAAGGAAGAAACTACAAAGGCAAAGGCAAATATGGAGGCAAAGGACACTACAAAGGAAACAAAGGAAAAGGTAAGTACAGAAGCAAAGGCCACTACAAAGGATTCGACAAAGGCAGAAAGGAAACGACAACAAAGGAGGATACAACAAGAACAAAGGAAAAGGCTACTCAGGATCCAAAGGACATGGATCAAGCAAAGGCTACAAAGGCCAAGGAAACTACAGCAAATCAAAAGGAAAAGGAAACAACAATTACACAACATGCCATCGATGTGGCAAACCAGGCCACTGGGCACAAGACTGTAGAGTGCCAGTATGGCACATAGGAGAAGGAGAAGAACTACATCCACTAGAACAAGAACAAGCAGATCACGACAACAATGAAGAACTACCTCAGGATGTGAACGACACTTGGGACTGGTACTACGAAGGAGAAGAAGGACAACACGAGGTGAACTACATGGAGGAGAACTGGAACGACTACGACTATGACAACAGCTGGGATTGGAATGACAACAGCTATGAGGACACTGCAAACTACATTGGAGGCATCAACAAGTCACACCTCACAATTGGACACATCAGACAAGCAAACTCACGACTACACAAGCACAAATCCAAATCACTACTTGGCAAGAGAACAACACACACAACATCATGGAACGACCACAGCAAGAGCTTTCAACAATTCCTACAAGAAGACAACACACAGCCACACTTTGATATAGCAGCAGCCAGACAACAACAAAGGAACAAGAAGATTGAGAACACTATCACACACTACATCATGTACTCCAACTTCAAGTCATACCACCACCTGCTGATCGACTCAGGAGCGTCTACACACGTTTGCCCGAAGGACTACGCACCAGACCTACCGCTACGACCTTGTGGAGAATCGGTTCCACAACTCTACACGGTTACCAACAAGAAGATTCCTGTCTACGGCATCAAGTACGTTCCCTACAAGCAGGACAACTTCAGGATCATGATACCCTACTACGTTTGTGATGTGAAGTACCCAATCCTCAGTGCATCAAGACTACTTGATAGAGGATATGGACTTGACTTCACTCCACGACACTGCACCATCACACATGGACAACAACAAGCACACCTCATCAGACACTCAGGACTTTTCTACCTACGAGCAGAGAAGATCGACATCCCTACAGGATTCGACATCTATCCAATGACTACAGACAGTGGAAAATCCATTGCTGTGATTCAACCTACAGAGAGAGCAGCACAACAACAAGAACAAATCGCACCACTCACACACACAGACCAAGGACTACGACAGATCCTTGGTGGAAACACTGACTACTGGAAACTTGATGGTGACTACGCCATCAGAGTACACAAACGACCACGCAAAGCACTATTCACACCACACAACAGTGGTTGCCCAATACCTGAAGAAGAACTAGATGATTGGCGACTAACCATCATCAACAGACAAGGGCAAGAGCAAGAACAACTACAAGAGAACCCAACACAACTCTCCAAGCAAGAACTACAACGAAGACTAGAAGGTGACAACTGGACTGGGGAAACCAGATTCAGAAGAAAGATACACCTACACGCAGAGCAACATCAAAGACAACACCAACAAGGCAGAGCTCACAACCACAACGGCTAATGGATACACCACCAACCAGATCAAAGATCCAACTACGAGCACCACAAAAGATATGGAGACCTAAAGCAGCACCTTCTACAAATCTTGACACCGCACAACCAAAGGAGACAATCCACAGACCACTCACAGCACAGGAGGACAACCAAGACTACTGGGAAAGACAAGGTGAACACTGGATAAGACACCACACATCACTTAGAACAACTCTATTCACTCCAACAGATGGACCAGGACATCCACCAATCAGCACACTCGAACCTCACAGAACTACAATCACTCACAACAACTTTGGAGAAGTTTCCCAACGCAAAGATGACTGGACAGTCATGGGCAAC